CCTGACCAAAAGAGCCAATGGGAAGGTAGAACTTTTTGAAATTGGGAAAGAAACTTTGCCTTTGTCTGTTATTCTCTGGGTTGGAGGGACAGAGCAGCCATGCTATAAACAGCTAAGTCAGGTATGATTATAAGTCATCAGATCATGCCTAGAACTACTTATCTGAACTCCAAATGTGTAAGTAGATCAGAATGTTTAGCTAGACGCGATTAGGGTTATTTCTTTTATTTCTTATTGGCTTGTGGACTCCTCTGTGCTAACGCCAGATGCTTTTGTTTGCTTGTAACCTTTAAGCTGAACCCCCAAGAAAGCTATTTTGGGGTGCTTGATTTTTGGAATTACTCTTTTAAAATCTAGCAAAATCCTAAGTTTCAGATGTATTTTCTTTCTTTTTGTTTTAAATAAAATTTACCTTTTTTAAGAACAGGATTGTCCACCTATACAGGGCCCCTTCACACGTGGGAGACAAAATCTGTGGGCTTTAATCCTGTCCATCCTACAATGGCCTAACCCCTCCCCCCCAAAAAAGAAGGATACAGCAGGACTCATAGATGGAACATCATCTCAGTATACTTGTCACTCTCCATGAGAATGTGCAAGTTGCGAGATGTGAGGCTAAAGCTCCATTTTCTGGCACAGTCCATGAAGGTTTCAGACCCTGGGGAGGCAAATTCCGGACTTCTACTAGCTTCATCCAGCATCCCACCTAGCAGACAAGCAACATTAAAGACCAGCACAAAATCCAGCACTGGCATCAAAGCCATCTTCAACATCATTGGCATCAAAGCTGGCACCAACACTTCTGGTATCAAAGAAGTATCTTCAAATACAGAGATTCCAGAGGGATCTCAGTTTCATCCCATAAGGACAGACGCCATAAAGCCTCCTGAGATAAATCCCACAATGACCCACATGGTGTCAAGGGTTGAGGAAAAGCAGCATACGATGTAGCAGACCACTCTAGCACCAACCCCAGCTACAATGACCCATTCACCGGAGTCAATGCTCACTTTGGAGGATGAGCCCAGAGAACCAAGACTGTCATCTGAGCTGAGACATTTATCGATTCTAATACCAAGAGTCCCATATACTTTGGCACAGCCCATGACAGTGGTCTACTCCTCACCATTACCAGGGCATACATTCTCCTCGTCTCCCAGTTAAGAACGCTCTCCTCTGAGGTCAGTTATTGACACTACGGATGTACCTCCCAGGTTACCCTACAGGGCTCAGCTGCCTCCAGTCTGTAAGGAATGGCAGTGGACTGGCCAATACCCAACAAGACAGCTGTATTCTTATGGCATGCCACAGTGTCCCTACTGGGGGTACAGGGGTCCACTATCTCAGGCACTGAGATGCCAGGCTCAACCACACTCAAGAGAAAGACGTCACTCCCCATTAGCATTCCTACACCAGACTACCAGGAAGAGCCAGATACAGGGACAGATCCAAAGCACCTTTTGTCTTTGTCACCTGATGAAGCAGTATCCCCAGCATTCAATACCAGCACCAGACATCATAACATTCCAGAAGTTCCTTGTGAGGATTGATTGGAGATAGAGATGTTAGTCATATCTGAGAAATCACACAAGCTATTTGTTGTCTTGTCAGCTTCTGATCCAGCCAGGATCATCTTCCCCATAAATGAGGGATTACTTGACCTCTCTAAGGCCCTATGGCATACACTGACCATGCTAACTTCCCCTGCAAAGTGAGTCAAGAAGAGGTACCAAGTACCTCCCTGGGGGTTTGACTACTTCTACATCCACCACAACCCAAGCTCCTTTTTCATATCAGCGATATACTAAAAGTTGAATATGAGTAAGGCAAGGGTCTGAGAAGGTTTGACCTTTTTGGATCATACTTCTCAGCTTCCCTACAACTGTGTGCGGCTAACTGCCTTCCTAACATAAGACAGAGTAACACGTACCTTGTGAAGATCCTGCAGCCAAGAGGAGCCTAAAGATATAAGGCTACATCTATGGCCACTGTGATAACAATGTGCCAGGCATCACAGCTACAGGCAGTGGGCATTCAGAGAAACATACAGGCCATGATTGAGAGTTTACTGCTTCAGGGCTCAGAGCTGCTCAGAAAGAGGACAGATGATACTCTGTACTCACCAAAGGACTCAAATACCACACTCCACTCTCTGGGTATTTCCTCATTTGAAAGAAGAAAGGAACCTACATCTGAGGAAACTAAACAAATACATATACTCTCTCAGATTCAGGATGGTAATACTTGCCTCCATCAGTCCATTTCTTCAAGCTCAAGGCTAGTTTGTAGCTCTTGACTTGCAGAATGCATACTTCCATGTAGCTATCCATCTGGCCCAGAGGAAATACCTGAGATTCACAGTGGGGCCCAACCATTACCAATACAGAGTTCTGCCTCTCATGCCATTGAGAGTATTCACTAAATGCCTGGCAGTGCATTTAAGGAAGCAGGGAATCTGTGTACCCACCTCACCTGGATGACTAGCTGATCAGAGGCAGGTCCCAATAAGAGACTGCAACAGCCTTAGAATAAGTCTTTTCCTTGTTCTCTCAACTAGTATTCACTGTGAACTATGAAAAATCATCACTCATGCCATCACAGACAATAGAGTTCATATGACTATGATTAACTCCCAATCAGCAAGGACCTACCACCTAGGAGACTGGTTCCAGTCTCTCCAGCATTGGCAAACAACCTAAGATTAAATCCCATATTCAGTCTTCATGAAGAAGAAAGAATGATTACTTGTCCTTCAGTAACTTTGATTCTTTGAGGTGTTGTAGAGTGTGCGTATCCCGTGACTTGCCCACTCTTCAGCCCTGTTTTTTGGAGTCCTCAGCAACACTGGCTTTGAATGGCAAGGGCACTGAGAAGCAGTCACAGATGATCCACCCTGTCTCCTTGTATGGTGCATAAGGAGCTACATGATGCACGCGCGGCCCAGCTAACAAAGCTTTCAAAAAAACTCTAATCTTGCATGCATGAGGTGCACGAGCATCTCAGTAGGATCCAGGCTGCCTATGACATCTTGAAGAACAATAGTTACTGTAGGATAAGTACCCATTCTTTTCTGACCAAGGATTATCACTTTACACTCATTGTTCCATATTATAATTCTGAGCTTCAGAATCAGCACCCATGATGGTGATTAATTTTTGTCATAAATGTAATGCTGAGTGGCATTTGAAGTGACCAAACTGAAGGATGCAAGAAAATGACAATAAATGTGAATGACAAATACTTTAGTAAAAGTGTGATGGCAACGATGTTCATCACATAGAAACAGATATACCTTTAGTAACAGAATGCTAAATTTCTGACTTTTGTATTGAAATTTTACACAGATTTTGCTTTGGTGACCTTTTTCATTTTTGAACTAGGACACTAGGCATTTGCATTGTCAGCTAGCAGCTTGCTCATTATTAATTTACTGAGCTGTACAATGTTGCTGTTGCTACAAACAGAAGGCACATTTCTCACCAGAACATTCCTCGACTAAAGTGAGAAATGTGTTATCTAAAATATTTTGCATTGCTATTAGATAACTTTAAAACAGTAACACAAATGCTGCTATTAGTTCATGTTGATGGAGCAGCAAATAGCTTGTTTTACTGAGATAATCATTGCCAGTTTTAAAAATCCATGTCCAAAATTAAAGCAAATTTATTTTCATTTTAATATAAAATTACCTTTTTGTAGAACATGATAGTGACTCAAAGTGGAGCTGGCAGAATACTACTAATAGTACTTTTACTAAGCTAACAATAAGGAATCTTGAGTGCAAGTATTGGATCTTACCAATACCAAACAGAGAACGTTTTTATGCTTGTATACAGACCTCTTGAGATTGCAAGTAGGGTACCATTTATGAGGGTGTTTCTTGTGATGTGGATACTTGGTATTGACACCTCATCAATTACTGGGAGTGGACTACATCCACTCTGATTGAATTGGCCCTGTCAACACTAGTTCTCCACTTGTAAGGTAACCCCTTCTCTTCATGTATAATAATGCCTGTATCTGTAATTTTCACTCCATGCCTCTGAAGAAATGGGTTATTTACCCACGGAAGCTTATGCCCAAATACATGAGTTAGTCTTTAAGATGCCACCGGACTCCTTGTTGTTTCTGTGGATACAGACTAACACAGCTACCCCGATACTGGACTCCATACAAACTCCCACTAATTTTTTTTTCCAATTCAAATGAAACATCCCTATGGATTACACCCTATAACCCTGCTCCTACTGAGCCCATCGCCAGGAGGGAAAGGACTGTAACCCAGCAAGGTTGTCAAGAACACATCAGCTTTTCCTTTCTCCTTCCCAGTAAGTGATGCTGTGGAGTTTGGCTGCTACTGGAGGTGGCACTGTAACCATTTCAAGGCGTCTCAGCGTGGGCTAGAGTGACCAGATAGGTACCAATTACCGCCTACTGCCTGACGTGATTTTTCACACTTGGGAGCTGGTCACCCCTGAATGAGCTGGCAGAGTAGGATGGGTCTCAGGACTACTCCCTCTCCTGTCTACCACTGGCTGACAAGCCCCCTTCAGTGCCTGCTGAGGGAGCTGGGGAGACGGGGGCGGAGGGTCATTTCCCGGTGCGATGGGATCAAGGACCCCGCTTGACCAGAGCAGCCGCCAAAACCGTTCTGCCATTTGCGGCAGTGGGTCCCCAGCGCAGCCGGGGCCCGAGCACGGCGGGGACCAGGCCAAACCGGTTCGAGGTCCTCGCTCGCCGGGCATCAGTAGGTGGGAGGAGCCAACACCATGGCGCCTTCTGTGGGCCTGGCTCCGCCCCTCACCGTGGACCAGAGAAACAGGCGGCGCGCGCTAACGTTCCAAGTGGTCCTCGCCGGACAGAGGGAGACGCCGCCGCCGCCGCCGCCGCGCATGCGCTTTTCCAACGCGCGTGCTGCGTAGTCTTGGCCTGGGCCCCGCCCCCATCCTAGCTCGGCGCTTGCGCAGTGTAGTGGCTCTGGTGAGGTGAGGGGAGGGCAGGGGAGGGGGAGTGACGACCGCCGTGACCACCCCTCCCTGCCCGGTCGCTGCTGTCGGGTCTCGGAGCGGCTTCCCCGGAGCCGGGCGTGTGACGAAGCGAGAGTGGAGGCGGCGCTGCCCGGTAAGGACCGAGCCCGGGAGCCACCCGCTTTCCCGGAGGGGGCTCCGCGCCGTGCCGGCCACAGGCCCTGCCAGGCCCCGGGCAACTGACCCCTTCTCTGTCCCGCCCGCCGCTGGGCTGGGGCCCCTCCGTGACCTCCCTCTTCTCTGCTCCCCGCCCCGCCGCCTCGCAGCCTGCGCCCCGCTCCGGGAGCCACCCGGCCGCCCCTCATCTTTGTCTCCTCGCTCTAGCATGTCCCCTCCCCCTCGGTCCGTGCCCAGCCCTCCCCCTAGGGCTGTCCTCCACCATGGCGCTGACAGGCGCCAGCCAGGGCTAAACCTGCCGCTGCCCGAGTTCCCTTCCTGCCGGCACCGGCCCCAGCACCCCCTGGCCCGCCCTAGCCTCACCGCCCCTGCCTGGCTGTCATCCTCACCTGGCCCGGCAGACACGCGGCGAGCTCCCGCTGCCCGGGACAGGCATTCTGCACCGGGTAGGGCGTAAATAAACCATGCACCGATTATTATAAACCATGCACCCATAAAGCCGGGTTCTCTACCTGTGGCAGTGCTTGTGTACACGGTCATGCCAGTCAAGGTAGTGAACTCTCCCCTTCCACTCTGTGCCCGACTTCCTCCCCCTAAACGCTCTCTGGCTGCCCTCGCTATTTCCTTACTCCTTCCACCCATCTCTTGTTTACTTTCTTCCCTCGAGATCTTTCCCTGTCCCCTTACTCCTTTTCCCTTATCTGTTTCTTCTCTGTCCTGTCCTTACTGCTCTTCCCTGTACCCCCCATGCCCGGGTATGACTCCTTTCCTTTCCATCTAGGGTGACCAGATGTCCCGATTTTATAGGGACAGTCCCGATTTTGGGGGCTTTTTCTTATATAGGCTCCCATTACCCCCCAACCCCGTCCTGATTTTTCACCCTTGCTATCTGGTCACCCTATTTCCATCTTCCCCTCGCCTCTTCTGTACAGCTATTCCCAGGGGACCTGCTGCCTAACAGCGTGTGGGCTCTAGAACACTTAACTCGCACATCACACTGTTTAAAAAAAAAAGGACATTAAATGAAAAAAGGTTCCTTAGTTATTAACTAAACAAAATTGACATACCCCATTGGCTACTTGTGACTTGATGGAAATAGTTATTACAGTTCTATTTAAATATTTTAATTAAGCAGCATTGTTTCCCCCAGGTATTGTTTTTCCCCCCAAAGAGGCAAAGTTAGCTGAATATGTTTCCAAGAAGAGCAGTATGTCCTAATTCTACCCTATTTGTAGTGGGATTACTGTGTAATGAAGTGAAATCATCACTACCAGGACTCTAATTTTGTGTGTGTGTGTGGCTGCCTTTGCATATTTTTGCAGATGGGGATTCCTAAACTTTTCATGCTGGCTGGGCAACAAATATAGAGAGCAGCCTTACACACACAAATGGCAAAGAACGTACACTCTAAAGCTCAGTCTCACTGTATTCTCTACTCCCGCCACATTATCAGAGAAGAAATCAAGATGGTGGGGATTCAGCACCTGCTAAGCACACTGCACTGAACTCCCTTCTCCTTACCAAAAAGCCTGGAACAGGTTGTGGATGAAGCATTCTGTCTGTGCTGGTGGTTGAAATGGTTGGCACCCTCAAAGAGAACCTTTCTGCTAGAATGGAACTAGTTATATTGTGAAGTGGTTTTACAGTGTGAATTTTGTTTGGACCGAACCCGGGAGCCACTCCCTTTCCCGGAAGGGGAAAAAGGCTAATGTAGTGCCCATCTCTTAAAAAAGGAAGGAGGAGGATCCAGGGAACTACAGGCCAGTCAGCCTCACCTCAGTCCCTGGAAAAATCATGGAGCAGGTCCTCAAGGAATCAATTATGAAGCACTTTGAGGAGAGGAAAGTGATCAGGAACAGTTAGCATGGATTCACCAAGGGCAAGTCATGCCTGACTAACCTAATTGCCTTCTATGATGAGATAACTGGCTCTGTGGATGAGGGGAAAGCAGTGGACGTGTTATTCCTTGATTTTAGCAAAGCTTTTGATGCGGTTTCCCACAGTATTCTTGCCAGCAACTTAAATAAGCATGGGCTGGAAGAACTGACTATAAGGTGGATAGAAAGCTGGCTAGATCATCGGGCTCAACGGGTAGTGATCAATGGCTCCATGTCTAGTTGGCAGCCGGTATCAAGCGGAGTGCCCCAAGGATCAGTCCTGGGGCTGGTTTTGTTCAATATCTTCATTAATGATCTGGAGGCAGGGCCTGCGCTTCCACTAGGCGACCCTAGGCGGTCGCCTAGGGCGGCAGGATTTGGGGGGCGGCATTTTGCCATCCTCGGCAGAAATTCGGCGGCGGGGGGTCCTTCCGCTCCGGGTCTTCGGCGGAAATTCGGCGATGGGTCCTTCACTCGCTCTGGGACCTGCCGCCGAAGTGCCCCAAAGACGCGGAGTAGAAGGACCCCCCGCCACCGAAGGCTCAGAGGAGTGCTGCTGCCTAGGGCGGCAAAAACCCTGGCGCCGCTCCTGTCTGGAGGATGGTGTGGATTGCACCCTCAGCAAGTTTGCAGATGACACTAAACTGAGAGGAGTGGTGGATAGGATACAGAGGGACCTAGACAAATTAGAGGATTGGGCCAAAAGAAATCTGATGAGGTTCAACAAGGACAAGTGCAGAGTCCTGCACTTAGGACGAAAGAATCCCTTGCACTGCTACAGACTAGGGACAGAGTGGCTAGGTAGCAGTTCTGCAGAAAAGGACCTAGGGGTTACAGTGGACAAGAAGCTAGATATGAGTCAACAGTGTGCCCTTGTTGCCAAGAAGGCTAACGGCATTTTGGGCTGTATAAGTAGAAGCATTGCCAGCAGATCGAGAGACGTGATCATTCGCCTCTATTCGACATTGGTGAGGCCTCATCTGGAGTACTGTGTCCAGTTTTGGGCCCCACAGTCAGGGCCAGCTCTAGGATTTTTGCCGCCCAAAGCAAAAACAATTTTGGCCGCCCCCCCTCCGTTTTTTAATTACCCCACCCCCGGCCCCGCCTCAACTCCTTCCCTTCCCCAAATCCCCAGCCCTGCCTCCTCCCCCCAGGCTCTCAAGCCTAGGAGGGAGGGAGGGGGAGAAGCGGCGCCCGCGCCGCGGCCACTCGGAGTCTCCCCCTCCCTCCCAGGATCTCAAGCCTGGGAGGGAGGGGGAGCAGCGGTGCGCGAATCGGCTGTTTCGCGCGCCGCGGCCGCTCGGGATCTCTCCCTCCCTCCCAGGTTTGAGAGCCTGGGAGGGAGGGCGAGTAGCGGCGCGCGAGCGGCAGCAGCAGCAGCGGAGGTGAGCTAGGGCGGCCGGGGCACATTTTTAGGGGCGGCATTCTGGCGCCGGCCATGCCGCCCCTAAAAATGTGCCGCCCCAAGCACCAGCTTGTTTTGCTGGTGCCTAGAGCCGGCCCTGCCCACAGTACAGGAAGGATGTGGAAAAATTGGAAAGAGTCTAGTGGAGGGCAACAAAAATGATTAGGGGGCTGGAGCACATGAGTTATGAGGAGAGGCTGAGGGAACTGGGATTATTTAGTCTGCAGAAGAGAAGAATGAGGGGGGATTTGATAGCTGCTTTCAACTATCTTAGAGGGAGTTCCAAAGAAGATGGATCTAGACTGTTCTCAGTGGTAGCAGATGACAGAACAAAGAGTAATGGTCTCAAGTTGCAGTGGGGGTGGTTTAGGTTGGATATTAGGGAAAAAAAATTCACTAGGAGGGTGGTGAATCACTGGAATGGGTTACCTAGGGAGGTGGTGGAATCTCCTTCCTTAGAGGTTTTTAAGGTCAGGCTTGACAAAGCCCTGGCTGGGATGATTTAATTGGTGTTGGTCCTGCTTTGAGCAGGGGGTTCGACTAGATGACCTCATGAGGTCCCTTCCAACCATGATATTCTATGATTAGGGCTCTTGAACATTTTTCTCTCCATGGTTGGTAACACCAGTTCTTCTTCACCAAAGTAAACAACTTTGGGAGACATAGTATAGACTGGCTATTGCTGGTGTTAACACCATGTTGATTATAAAATAGTCCTGAAAGTGGCTTCCCCACCCTTGCTTGTTTTTTTTTTTTTTTTTAACCTTAGCAACATAAGGAGTATCAAGTCTGGTCATCCTTGATTTTGTTGGAGGATCTTTGAGGTGTCTTGGGGATATTTGTGAATACCATAGGTGTTGTATCTCTAACAAAGTTTTCCTTTTTTCCAAAAAATTAATTATTGTAGATGTTAATAGAAAAACCCAAACCAGTTTTAAGTAGTTTGCCTAACAACCCCTCTCCTGCTCAGTTTTTACTCTCTTGGCTCTTGTAATGTCATCATTTCGTTATTTCTCCAGTCGCTTTAATCAGCAGCCTGGGATTTGAATTTCTGTGTAAAACAGAGTTGCATTGGGGTGCATTATATTTAAATTAATGGTTTTGGAATTATTATGAGACATGATTGCATGCAAATTTCCCAATTCTGGTTATGCAAAAACCCAGCCTTTTGAAGCAAATGCCCTGAGAAAAGGGTTTTTGCTGATTACCCGTTACCAAAAGCTAAGATCAAAGGCCCAAGCTGCATAAAGAAATGCCTGTTCTTCCCATCCTGTGTTCTGGATTTGAATCTGAGACAGTTATTAATTTATAACAATGGGAAAAACCCATTTGTGTGTTTTGAAGGACTGAAACCTACCAGAGCTAGGGGTTGCTGTTTGGGTGACCTCTGGTATGTATGTCTAAGGTTCTTTTATTGTTTTTAATGGTTCTCTGTAATGCATTAAGAATAAATGTGCTTGCTTATAAAGAGCTGTGTGATAACTTATATGTGAGGGTCACGATGCTGTTAGCCTTTGGAGAGAAAGTAAAGTGCAGATGCTGGCCTCTTTAGGCAGTCTGGCTTGCTGGGAACATCACAGTGTAGGCAGGGAACTGTGCAGACTGGAAATACCCAGGTCCGGAGGGAAAGAGACATGGGTCTCTAGCCAAGAGAGGTGATAGCTGGAGAGCCAGGAACCCAGAATGGGTGCCCTT